CACACACACACACACACACACACACACACACACACACACACACACTCTTGGAGGGGTCAGAGGATGGTCAGGGTGACTTCAGCCTGGTGGCCTAGCCTGGCCTGGGCTACTTTCCGCCTCCCTCTGTTTCCTTTGGTGTCCTCTGAAAAGATGGCCAGAAGCGTCTGGTTTGAGAGCTGAACCAGTGTCTAGAACATGGTTAAAGTTTTGAATTTTGGGCTTTCCTGAAGATATTGCCTGAAGCCGTGGGGACGCAGCAAGGAAACATGTCACTATCTCCAGCGTCTCCTGCAAAGTGACCTGGGAACGGGCTTCTTTATGATGTGGCTGCCTGGTTACCAGGGTTCCAAGTTCTGCTAAGTTTTATGATCAGGAAGTGAGATCACTGCCTGGGTCTTCCCTGTGGCACTGAGACACCCACTCAGTTATCCCCTGATCTCGGGCAAACCATGGCTCACACGCCCCAATTAAACAATGGCCCCTGACTTCGCAGGTGCAACACTCACCAAAGGTCTGTTTCAATGCACAATAGTCCTCCATTTCACCCGGGGCGCCCCACATACACCAAAAAAGAGTTTTGTCTAATAGCATTGTCTCAAATTCAATTCAGTTTATTGAAGTTTCACCATTATTCTTAATATGTTCACTCATGTGAGTTCACTAACCATATTTAAATGAGATAAACAGCTGACTCACTCATAACAATCATCAAATGAACACAGGATGGCCAAGTGGCTCAGTTGGTTAAGAATTGGCATAAGAACGCAAGCTCTGAGCAACAGGACCACCAGTTCGATTCCCATAGGGGCCAGTGACAATGCACCCTAGCTGAGCTTCTGCTGAGCTGCCAAAAAGTAGCAGGATGGCTCAGTGGATTCAGCATGTGCAGTTAACAACAAGGCTGCCGCATTCGACTTCCATATGGGATGGTGGCTATGCCCACCTGCAACTAAGTTTGAACATAGCACCTTGAGCTTAGAGGCCATGAGCTTCCATCAGGAAGCCAGGTGGTGACTGGTGCCCTCTACAACGAAGATTGAAGAACATCTTGGCTGGTCGCCCTCCCCAATTCCCCAACACTGTTCACCTCCCACAATCCCCCAATTAAAAAAAATGTATAAGATTGAAAATGTGCTCTGTATGAGACATTTATGTGCATAATCTCGTTAATTTCACAAATCTCTAGCTTGCAGATATAATGAGCTCTAATTTACAAATGACAACCACAGACATTGTGAGGTGCAGCCTTACAGCCTGTTAGAAGGCAGAGCAAAGGTGTCTTCATAGGTCTTTCATGTTAACCCCTGTTTCATGCTCACTATGAAACAGTGAAAGTTCTAAGCTAGAAAAATGGAGAATTTTACAAGTGACAAAACAAAGACCCTGAGAGGTTTGGGACCTGTCCCAAGGTACATAGCTAGTAAAGGGTAGACCGAGGCTCAAATTCCAGAAGCCCAATGTTTAGGAATTCCCTCTTTCATAACTGCTGCAATCTCACATGAAGAAGTGAGAAGAGGACCTGCCAAGTGGCTCAGTTGGTTAAGAGTGCGAGCTCTGAGCAACAGGGTCGCCGGTTTGACTCCCACACGGGCCAGTGAGCTGCACCCGAGCTGAGCTGCCACTGAGAGGCCAACAGGCAGGACACTTGCTCAGTGGTTAGTGCGTGTGCTCTTAGCAACAAGGTCGCCTGTTTGACTCTCACATGGGATGGTGTGCTATGCTCACCCCCCGCAACTAAAATTGAACACAGCACTTTGAGTTGAGCGTCCTCGAGCTGCCGATGGGTGGCCGGATGGCGACGACTTGGAGCTGAGCTAGCTGCACCCTCAACTAAGATTAAAGGACAACAACTTGTCTGTTCCCCTTCCCCAAATTCTCCAACACACTTCCCCGCCCCAAATCCCCAATAAAATCTTAAAAAAAAGAGAAGTGAGAAGAAATGCAAATTAGAAAAAAAGCCACTCTGGGCTAAGCAATTAAAAATATTTTTTTCCATATGACTGACAATGGACCAGGCTGGTGATCAGAGAAAAAGTTGGACTTTGGGCCCCCACCCAGGCCTCTCCACCAATAGTATCCTCCTGTGAGAAACAATCTGTGCATCTCAGGAACTTGTTCTCTCTCTCTCTCTTTCTCTCTCTCTGTCTCTGTCTCTCTCTCTCTCTCTCTCAGCAATGACTGGAACACCTGAGTGTGAACCCACATAGTTCATGTGACTTCTCCTGCACTCCGACTTTGCTCAGCTTTTCAGGAATCCTCAGTCTCCCCGTCTGTGACACAGGGATGACGGCAGTGTCCCCCACTGTGGTCCTGAGTTTAGGGGCAGGTCTGGCCTAGAGTGAGAAGCTGGTAAAGCTTAGCTTGGCGGTTCCCCCACCCCCCACACCTTCCTCAGGGCTGGGTGGGCCTGAGTGAGGGTCAGGCTTGCTGTGTTCCCTGCCCCTCCCTGACACTTCTCTGTCCCCACAGGCCCACAGTGACCTTCTACAAAGCAAAGCTCCTGGACTTTGGGATCACCCTTGACAACGTGGCCTTCAAGCCCCTGGAGATGGCTGTGATTGGGCAGACACTGGGCAAGTGCCCGGCAGGACTCGTGGCCACCCCAACGTAGCCCCTGCCCTGGACTTCTGGCTGGGTGGCACCTCCTTTTACACACCCAGGACAGCAGGCGTTCATTTCTTAGGTTTGTCTGATCTGCAAATGAAGGCTTTTCATGTGTGCAGTGCGTCCAGTTGCCTGCTGTGGGAGAAGCACTTTCAGGGCCATGGCCCTTCGGCTCCCTCCCCTGCTTTCCATCCACACGCCCTCCCACCTCGGGAGAGCAGCAGCAGCCGAGCTCTGCCCAGTGACTGCAGCAGCCGTGCAGATGCCAGCACCAAATTTATTGATGCCCAAGTCGCAGCTGCCTTGGGAAATGAGGGGCCAGAATCCCCCACAGATAATGGGGCCTGAGGCCCCATGACGAGCATGGAACCCACTGTGGAAGGCTGGGAGTGGGTCAGGGGCCACGGTGATGGGATCGGTGCTCAAGGCCAGCTGGCGGTCAACTCCCATGGCACGTGGTATAGGACCAGGGGCTCAGCAGCAGGGGGACGTTGAACTTGTGGGTCTCGTTGGTGATGGTGAAAACTACCTGTGATGGCCGAGGAGGCACCAGAAGACAGTGAGGGGCCTGCACACAGCTCACCAGTAGCCTGGTCCCAATGCTTCCTGGGACACTCCAGCAGCCAAGACTGTGGGCCAGGGGCTGGATCAAGGGGAACAAGAGCACCTGGGCCAGCTAGAGCCTGATAGTGGGGAATTGAAAATCTGGTGAGGGCTGGGGATGGGACTGAGTACTCCCCAGAGAAGGAGCTTGGCTTGAGGGGCCCTGGGCTTGCCGGGTTCCCCAAAGGATGCACCCTGAACAGGGCCAGGTGAAGTGGGAGGCAGTACGGTCAGGCGCAGTGAGCTGGATGGGCTTGGTGAACACCTCTGTCCACGGGGGCTGCGTCAGCCTCGGCCCTGTCCCCACAGCCTGACCCAGGGACAAGGCAGGGCCACCTTCCTTCTCGGGGCCCAAGGCAGGTGAAGTCCCTGCCTGTCATCACCCTGGGAGAGTGGAAGGGGTGCTGGCCACTGCAGGACCTCACCAGGGTCACCGTGAACCACAGGCCTCCACCCTCTGGCCAGCCCGAGGCCTTCACCTCCACATACGGGTAGAAGCTCTCCTGTCTCCTTTTCTTCCAGTAGCCCTTGGTATTGAAGAACAGCTTGTAGGTGTCCGCCTTCATCTGTCCAGGCGACAGGAGCACAGGACAGCAGCCGTCGTGGTCAGTGTAGCTGGGGTGGGGTGGGCGGGAGGGGATGAGGTGCCACCTCTGCCTGGCTCTCTGCATCTGCACACTCCACATCCTCAGATGCCCCTGCAGCCTGGCTTGGGATGATGCTAGGGCCTGGGGCAGCCGAGGGACCCCGCTGCACTGTCTTTTTAGGAAACCACAGGAGAAAGGTTAGAACCATGAGCAATAATCACTTTATGTTTGGCCTGATTTTCTTATGCATAAGTATTATTTACAAACTTAAACATAAAATGGATCATACTTCTCATATTGCTTTATAACCTGTATTTTTTAGTTAATAGTGTGCATGGCTTTCTGAGTCAGGAACTCTATCTGGACCCCCATCCACACGGCCTCCTATTTCCAGCCACACTGAGTGCCCCAATGGAGGGCTCCGAGGGCTGTGGCTTTGCTCGAAAATCACCTGGTTCCCACCAGCTGTGCTTCCAAGGGTCTGCACTGCGCTTAGAGCGGCATGTACCAGCAGTTTATGGGGGGTCGGGAGTGGGTCCATATGACCCCCCCATAGGACTCTATGTGTTCTTTCAAGACCACAGCTAACCCTCAGATGTGACTTGGACTCTGCTTTTGTGAGGGGCTGAACAGGGAGGGTACGAGCTCCACACCCTCAGGCCCTGAACTTTTGGGGCTCAGCCTCCAAATTCCACCACCAGAGGAGCCTGCATCCTTCAAGATCGAGGGTCTGGGGCCCCCCTCACAGGGGCCACTCAAGTGACATGATGCCAACCCAAGCCTGGGCTGGGCCTCCCCAGCAAGGCCTGGGCAAGGGATAGGGGCCGGGCATGGTGTAGGATCCAGCTTTTACCTTGCCTCTTCCTGCCTCTGTCTCCCCATAATGGTAATTATGGTGCCTGCCCACAGGGTGTAGGGAGAACAAAAGGAAGACAAATGAAGTGCTCAGCAAGCTGCCTGTTAAACATGGTGACAGTGAGGCCTTTTAGTTTCCACCGCAGGCCTTAAGCAACCCAGCCCTCAGGAGTGTGAGGCTGTGCCATCAGGGACTACACAGCCTGATGAAACAGGCTCCGGAGTCAGCAGGGGACCGTGGGGCAGTGGGCAGCTCAGCCGTCAGCCCTCAGTGCCACCCTCCTTGCCTGGCTGGGATCCTTCACCTTGCTGCTTGTACCAGCCAGAATTCAGGGCTGGCTCCAGCTTAGGGGAGGTGGTCTGCACACAAGTCCTGCCCCAGCCCTCCCTCCTACCTTTTCCTCAGTTTGGTCCATTGCTGGCCATGGTCCTCGAGCCTGGAGAGCTGGAGGCAGAGGCCCTGGGCAGGGAGTCCTGAGGCAGTGTCCAGCACGTGTGTGGTCAGCAGGCTGCTGACTGGATTCATGCCTCTGTACTGGGCCACGAGACGGGGGCAGGGATGAGCACGTGGGCGCAAGTGGTGTCCACACCAGCCTTAGAGTAAACAGCCTCAGCCGGGCAGAGTCCCTAAGTGTCCCTTTGGGGGAGGGGGGCCTGGAATTAATGATCAGCATGCGAGGCTGCGGTGTTAGCACCCTGAAATACAGTTCATAAACCAGCTGACCTGTCCCCCATCCGCCCCCACTGGGCCGCCATCCCCTCCACCCAGCCACTGAAGGGTACCTCTGGCACACAGGCCTCCCCTTCCACCCCTCTTTGCTGCTGGTCAGTGCATGCATGGATGGCCAAACCCGGTCTCCTTATTCTCCCAGAACACAGCTTTCTGTCTCCTGGCTCATGGGTCACCGGATCTTAGGCCCCAGACAGATGAGGGGACAGAAACCCTGGTTGCTGCCTGGCCCCCTACCTCCAGGGAACCCAGGTGTCGCTGGAGCGTGTGCAGCCGCGGGCCGGCCCTGGAGCTCATGCCTGGCTAATTCAGGACAGCTCGAGGCGGTCAGAGATCACCCCACGCCCGCCACCCTAAGAGGGGAGGGGCGGCCCAGGGCACCTCCCTCGGCCGGCCCCTGTCTCCCCTCTGTCACCTCCCAGGACTGGGGACCTAGTGTCTGACCAAACCGGGAGGCGGGCGGGGTAGGTCCATCTCGGTGCCCACCAGTAGGGCCCCAGGTGTCTCCATTCAGGAGGGGGCCCAGGCGGGCGAACTGGGCCAATAGGCCTGCAGGGGCCGCCAAGGCTCCTCCAGGGGCCGGACATGGAGTCCAGCGCACCCACGGTATGATGGGGTGGGGCTCGAGCAGGTGCTGGGCAGAATAGGGTCTCAAGGGGTGGGTCTCGGGGGGTG